TAAAATAATTTTATCATATTATTAAAATATTTTATAATAAATATATATATAAATTTTTATATTAATATATATATATTGTAAAAATATCTATATATTTTTGTTATTTTTTTAAAAAAATATTGACAAACACTAATTAAAAAATTATCTAAATATAAATTTAATTTTCTTTTCTAATTTTAATAATAATTTATTTAAAAATAAAAACAAAATAAATTTTTATAAAAAATGATAAAATATTTAATACATATTTTATTATTTTTAATTTATTTAACAAAATCAATATAATATGGTATTATTTGTTATTAAATATTTAAAATTTTATATGAATATATAAAAAATATTTATTAAATTAAAAAAATTATATAAAAGATGATGCATCTATTTAATTAAATTAAATTAAGTTATTCCCTTCAGAATTTCAGACATATTAATACCAAGACGATCCTATATTAGTTTATATATAAAATGACCATAATTATGATATTAAAATAAAAGAAATTTTTATAACTAACAAAAATTTTTAAGTATATTTACCATAAAACATTATAAAAGCAAATACAAAATCTTAATTCATAGAAATTTATTAAATATATGATTAACAAGTAAAAAAAATTAAAAAAAATTATATATATATAAAAGTAATTAATATGCAATTAAGATGATATAATATTACCTTTTATAACTTCTTAAGAAATAAAAATATGGAAAGAATAATAATAAGTAAAAATAATTAAAATAATTAAAATATAAAATACAAAAAATAAAGTAAATATAAGAAATATAAATAATCCAGATAAAAATAAAAATAAGCTAATAAGAAATTATAAATCATGAAATTTATGTTAAAATGAATTCTTTTAAATTACATAAATAAAATATAATTGATTTTAATATAACTGAAACATTCCAAACATATTAAAAATCAATAACTATAAAAAATCCTTTAAAATAACCTGTTTCTTTTAGATTATTTTTAGCACCTAATGATTTAAATTCATTAATAAATACATAGTAAATAAAATAAATAAATATAATAATATTATAAATATATATATATATATATATATATATATATATATATATATATATATATATATATATAAATATATATATCTAATATATGATTTTATTTTTATTTTTTTTATATTTAGAAATTTATAATAAATTCCAAAAGAAAAAATCACTATCTGTTTCTTAAATTAAATAAAATATAATACATAAATTGAATAAATTAAAAATCAAATATTAAAATTTTTAGATTAAAAAAAATATGTTTAAATATAATAAATATCCTAATTTAACTAAACATTTCTTTCTTATAGAGTTAATAATGAAATTTTATATAATATTTTATATGTTAATATATTACCTGAGTTAAAAAATGATAATTATTTTGATTGTTTTACTGGATTTACATCTTTTTTTAAGAAAAAGGCAATCATAGATACTAGTTTATAGAAAAATTTAAATAATTTTATGAAATTTCCCGAAATAAATTTGAAAAATATTCAAAAAAATATAATTGAGGTTATAAAATCTGACGAAGAATTAAAAATAATAAGCGAGATTTCCCAAAAATATTCATTCTAAACACATTCGATATTTGTGAGTAAAAATTTATTCGAAAAAGTGCAAATTTATTTCCAAAATTTTTTTAGAAACGCCACTTTTTAAATTCTAAAAGAACTCGAAAAAAAGTCTTCTTATGATCAACAAGTATATTTAAGTGAAAGCTTTATAAACAAAGAGATAATTTTATAACCAAAAGAAGAAAAAATAATTGCTTGTGTAAAATATATACCCAATTTCGGGTCATATCAATCCAATTTATTAATAAAATGGAATATTTCGAAAACTTTAGATGTTATTCCTGTTTAAGGGAATTCTGGAATAGGAAAACTGACTATTTTTCCTGAAAAAAAAATATCTTTTTTAATATAAAAGAACGAAATTTAAGAAAATTCAGTAAGTGCATATAGGGAATTTAGGATAAAAAATAATGGAATCTTTCCAATTTAAATTAGAAATATTTACATAGAAAGCCAGTCTTGTAAGGGTTATGGGTTTATAATTTTAAATTGCTAATAATTCTATTTAGAATCTGAAGAAGAAAAAATTTTACAAATTATATTTTTTTAAGAAAGTTAGGCTTTTTTTAATTTTTAAAAAAATGTTTATTTCTAAGGAAATGGGTATCAATTTGAATTGAAAATAGAAGTTATTTTTTTTGAAAAAAACAAAAATTTTTAAGAAATTTTTAGATTTTAGTTTTTTTTTGTGGAGGAACAATTGTTTTTTTGCCTTTTTTATTTGTAAAAAATGTATTATTTTTGAGAAAGAAAAAAAGGAAAAAAGGAAAAAAAATTTGAAATGGAAGATATTAATATTTATTAGTTTTCTTAAAAAAATATGATTTCCTAAAAAGTTTTGGATTTAAAGGTAAAACTTCATTAAATTAAATAAACGGTTTTTATAAAAAAAACAAAGAAAAAAAATAATAAAAATAAAAACGAGAAAAAATATCTTAATAAGAAGATGATAAATAATAACTATAATAATAAGCTTAATCCACTATTAATAATAATAATTACAGAGACAAAGATTAATAAGAAAAAATTTCAGAAAAAGAATCCTTTAATATAGAAGAAAACGAAAAAAAAAATCAGAAAATTCAAACGAATCTAGCTTTTCTTCAGGTGACTCATTTTAAGAAGAAGAAATTTCTAATATGATTGAAAGTGTTAATTCCTAAAAAAACTTTTCGTTTGGAAGAATCGAAAGTAAAAATAAAATCGAAGAAAAACAAAAAGAAAATACCCAAAAAGAATAAAATAAACAATACTATGATGTCTTCAGAACAAACAACTTATACTATAGAATAGGAGATAAATTCGATGAAGATACCTAAATAAATAATTTTAATATTGCATATGGCAAATCTTAAGAAAATACTCCTTTACATATGGGAATTTAATAAGAAAACTTTTAAGAAAAAAAATAAAAAAGAAGAAATTAATATTTTTAAGTAAAATAAAAGCATATTTTCATAATATTTTAATCCTATAGTATAAAATTTTACAGATAATTATAAAGGAATACTTTATTAAAATTAAGAAGAAGAATAAATAAATTTAAATCAAGATAAAAATAATTATGTATTTCCAAGTTAAGAAAAAAATACATAATATAAATTAAATAATAAGAAAAAATAATGAAAGAAACAAATATATAAAAAAAAAGTTTTATTTAATAAAACTTATATATTAATTTATATAAATTTTAAAGATATTTATTAATTTAAATAAATTAATAACAAAAAAATAAAGATTAATATAAATAAACATATATATTATTATATATATAATAATATACATATGTATATATATATATATATATATATATATAATATAATATAAATTTTTAATATTTATTTTAAATTCTATAAATTATTTTTTTATGTTTTTTCCTTTTCAATATTTTATTAAAAACATTATATTCAATATATCTATTTTATTTATCTTATATTATATATGTTTATTTATATTATATATTTGAAAATATTAAAAAAAAATTATAATTTTTTATTTTTTTAAATAAATTATAAAATATATAAAAATATTCATAAATTTCTTTATAAAAATTTTATATAAAAATAATTTAGAAACAATTTTGACTATAATTTATATAATATTATAAATAATTTTTAAATATATAATTCAAGAAATAAAATATTTAATTTACTTATCATACAAACGTCCAAAAATTATTTATAAAAAGTATTCTTTAATTCAAGATAGAAAGAAAAATTTGTATAGTCATACTTTTTTTAAAAAAATGGAGAATATTTAAAAATAAACCTCCTTTTAAAATATAGTCTATTTTAAATAAAATAGAAGTTTAAAAAATATATAAACTGATTTCATTTTAAAATTATAGAAATAATATATAATTATTTTTAGGTTATAATAATTATTAAATATTAAGATAAAATAATGCCTAAATTAATATAAGTAATTATATTTAATAAAGAGAAATAAAATATTATCTAGAAAAATATTACAATAATTAAATTAAAATCATTAAAAATAAAATAATTTTAATGTGAAAAAATAAATGAATTTTAATTATTATTTTTTAAATAAAAATTAAAAAAAATAGTGTTTTATGAAGAGTAAAATGTAATTAAAATACAAAAACAAAAAAATAGAAAAGAGTTTTAAAAAATGAAAATAAAATTTTAATCTAAAAAAAATAAGAAGAATATTACTTTATAAATAATCTTTTGATTTTTTAGATTTAAAAAAATTAACATTTGAAGTTTTAATAAAAAAATAAAATACCAAAATTTATACAAAATTATGAGCTTTTATTTAATTTAGAGGAAATATTTTTAAAAATAATCATTGTGATAAAAAATATATTAAAATATAGGTTAAAATAAAAATTTACTAAAAAAATTAATTATAACAAAATTGAATTAAATAATTAATTACTATTATATAATATTCTAAATAAATAAAAGTTTTTAATAAAAATTTATATTAGATATTATATATATATATAATTATTATAAATATATTATAATTATAATATTTCTACAATAATTTATATAAATTTATTTTTTAATATTTTATGTATAAAACTTAAATATAAAAACATATTTTCAGAAATACAATAAAAAGAAAATTTTTTTAGACTAATAAGTCTATTTTTGATAAAATTATTGATAAAACAATATCAGCAAATATAATTTACGAAGATGATAAAGTATAAATATATATATGTATATAAATAAATGAAAAAAAAAGTGTTTAGCATTTAAAGATATAAATCCAGTTGCTCCTTTTCATGCTTTATTGATTCCAAAAATAAAAGGAAATTTAGATTAATTATAGAATGTAATAAAATATATATATATATATATATATATATTATTTTTT